ACAGACACATTTTAAGTTTATCAGAGGATTCCATACACATCTTAGTGCCTTAATTTTGCTCTGAAAATAAAGAATTCATGTTTTATTTATCAAGTCATATAAGATATGCAATTTAAAATATCTGGACTATTGACAGCATTTTAACACATTTCTGTTTTTCTTACCTTCCTCATGACTTAGTCTTCAATTACCAATTGAATCTACCAAGCAAAAAAGAAAAAAAAAACATTTTTCAAAGTTTGGAAAATTGTTGGTATTTTATTTATTTTTAAAAACATGTAACTATTTCTAGCCATCAGTGCATAATCATTCCCCTAATTCTGAATAAATCTGTACTTACCTGCTTGATTTGAATTTGACTTCTGTGAAAGAAAACTGTTTAAAAGGAAATGTGTGAATCTGGGTTATCTGTGAGTTGCTGATAAACTGAAAACTGCCAACAGAGGAAAATTGGATAGTGTCCTACTTGCACAACTATTAAATAAACTCTGGTCTATCTATCTATCTATCTATATATATATATATATATACACATACATACCAGGTATTTATATACCCATGTATATATACCCATGTATATATATATAAATATAGGTTTGGTGGATTTTCTTAAACATTATGGAGAAAACAGTGGAAATGTCCATTTGAAGGAGTCTATGGCTGACTGCAGTGACTGTGTGGATGGAGCATTTGGCGTGGTGGACTCTATCTGGTCACATAGATTCTTCACATATACTCTTTTCAAACCTTGTTGGATTGAGTCATATGTAAAACACTCTGTGACTAAGTAAAATGTAGTAAGAATCATTCTTTTTCTCAGAATATCTTATAAGTGAGAACATAATCCTAGGATTAAGGTGGTACAAGAGCTAACCTGTTTCAGTACTTCATCTGATAATTGATAATTTTCTGTTTCAGTTATATCTTAGGTAAAATTAGAGTAATACCATCAGAATTTTGGGTTATATGAAAATTCTGTAAATAATGCACTAAATGCTGATAAAAGAATGTCTATAGTAAAAAAAAAAAGAGAGAGAAAAGTGATTTGTATTCATTAGATACCTTTTAGGTATCATACAAGAGGGTTAAAAATCAGCACTTATTTTCCCAGAGAATGCCATAAGTAGAATATGAGGTGACGTTGTTTCATTTGAAAATTTCAAAATATGATGTTCAGCCAAGTTCAGGAAAGGACCTATGCCTACACAGCTGTCAAGTGCTGGTGACTTCAGGTTACTCATGCACAATCACTTCCTGTGCCATGCTAATCTGTGTTTTGCTTCCACAAAGATCAAGGGACAGGTTATAAAATCTTTATGATCTGCCATAATGGTTGGGGAAAAACAAACTTTAATTCCCATTAAAGTGCCAATATTTATGACTCACATATGAAGATATTTTGTTTTTATTTTGTTTTTTTATATTTACCATGCCTCTCAGTATGCAGAAATGCCAAACTAGCTTCCTAATCACAAACAGTATTTTGTATGAGTAACCCTGATGGCAAAGATGACTACCTTTACTATAGAAATAGAAATATTCAGAGCTACCGGCTTCTGGGCTCCGCTACTCTTCTCTAGCTGTAGCATTTCCTTTCTCTCTAATAAATCTTATCTTATACACTGGTAAAAAAATAAGAAATAGAAATATTCTTTTTCTTAAATCGCATTGCTTTTATTATTTTCAAACTGAGCTAAAATTATGTGATCGAATATAAAGGAAGGGATATCTTTCTGGATTATAGTAGTAATAGCTCATGAAATAAGATACTCTGTATTATATATCAGTGGAATTAGACAACAGAAAGTATCTTAATGAATATAGTGAAATATTCATGTAAATGTTAACTTATATACATAAATATAGGTGTGATAGTGAATTTACATGTATGATACAATTTTCTGTCTCACAATATGCTAACATTAAGGCATATGTATATATATATACATATATATGTATGTAGCTGAACCATTCCAATGTGTTTTCAAAGATAACTTTATTTTAGGTTTCAGCAGAATCTTATTTGCTATGATGTTATTTTTTATTTATTTCTTATCCTCAAACCAATTTATTTTGTGAATGATAAAAGTTGTGCTGAATAAATGTGAACACTCTGGCTATTTTTTTTTTTCAATAGGTACACAGTCAGAGAAAGTAGAAACATTTTTCTATTGAATAGAATTAGCACCACTTCTTCAATTAGGTCAGGGCTTCCTGCCATTTAAAATTGACAGGAAATGCAAAATGTACCAAACTGCAACACTGTGGGTAGAGCTATTAGGCCTCCCAGTTCTCTGGTGTTAGGATTGACCTCAAATCCCTTCTGCCAAGAACTAGTAATTTTTAGGAGGTCTTGGCCCCTGGTTTCATGACATCGAAGGAAAGCAGAAACCTAAGCAATACTTGAGTAAGTCTGATTCTGCTGCAGTTGGACACACTAGGTCAAAAGAAAGACTCTTGCCATGAATAAATAATAAAAAATATCCAGAGGCATGTTTTATGTGACTAATACAGAAATAGTCAAACATTGCTAAACTATATAACAAATGAAAAGAACATTTTAATATGGACATCCAAACTCATTGTAAAGAAACACTATGTAGAAATGTGGAGAAGAGGATAAACTTTGAAATAAGAGCTGGATGTGTATCCTAGCACACACACTCCCTAGCTGTGTCACCTTAAGCAAGTCTTTTGATCTCTCTAATCCATAACTTACTAAATTATTTATAAAATGGCATATATTCAGACTGTTTCTTGAATAGACTTATTTTGAGAATGAAATTCAATGACTTTATGCACAGAGTAGGCACTTTGAGAATGTTAAAGGTCGTTCTTGGCATCACTTCAATAACTTCACCAATGCCCACACATATGAAAGAGATTTATTCTAGGATATAAGGAAGAAAGAACAATGTCAACAATTATCCAAAAGATTCCATATAACAAAACAATTCAAACTGCATTAATTTCTTATCGTTCACTTTCTGTACTTTATTCTCTGGTCATATGTACATATGTTAATGACATCTCCAATGGGAAACAATAAAGACATTAAAATATTAAAATATTGCTTGTTATTTCAGAGGTAGTATGATTATCAATATCTCAAATACCTGCATCATATTCACTAAAAATGGATTCCCAAAGCAAAAAAATATCCATGGGGAATGATCTACCTTGTGAGTATTGAATTTTAAAGGGCATTTCATTTCCATATAAACATGATAGCATCCAAATTGTTCAAGTATATTTGTTTTTAAGTGCATGACAATGTTCTGCGATTGCATCCTGGAGCATAGTCACATAACATTTTTAGTCTGAAGCAGGATGTGATTGGCATTGTTCTCAGACACTATTGTGCAAATGGTAAAGTTTCTGGGTCTGTGTTTGCAAAATCATAATCAGCCAGGTGATTTCGTTGTGTGACATTAGATACAGGATATACACTTTGTCTCATTTTGTAGAGAAAGGTAAAAGGAGCTTCAACAATTTAGCCAAGAAAGAAAAAGAATAAAAGATCACAACTTTATGACTATTGATTTTTTTTCAACACAAAAAAGCTGTGGAATTGTATAGGGAGAAGTAAGATGTTTTCTAATTTTTAACTCATGGTTTCTGAGCCTTATTAAAATCAGTTTTGTTCTCAAAACTGCTCAATAAATCAGTAAACAAATTATGTATAGGTAAGCAAAAGCTGGGTCACTGCACACAGGGCATGTATACCTGTAAGAATACATGGACATTTGTTGTGTCATTCATTGGCAACTTCTTACAGACTAGAAACAGGGACTTCCTAAGATGATCTTCAAATCTTCCTTCCAAAAGTTTATTTCAAAAAGTGTTTACTAGTAACACTCCACCTAAAAACTCAGAATGTAACCAAGTTCACCTTACATGTGGTCATCAATTACGTATTCCTTATCCTTTCAATCACTTAAGTTTTAATCACATTAGCTCATGGTATTGTGTACAAGAACAAGGAATACTTGTAGAATCAAATACTTGCAGATCAAAACCCCAGAGGTGCTATGGATCGGATATTTAGGCTTTTTCTTCTCTTAGCCAAGCTCATCCCCTATCCCAAATGTCTCCTCTGCTAGAGGTCTACCTGGGGAAAACGGCCAATGAGTTTCCCAAAGCTCCAGCCTTATCCACCAGCGGTATTCCATTGGAAATCCACATCTTTTCAGCACCTCCTACTGAGCCGGGGTCAAAGTGCTGAAAGAACAGCTCCCATAATTCGGGTCTCTTCAGAGAGCAGACTGCACCAACGCACTGTGCTACAAACAGCCATTCACAAAATCCAAGGAGGGAACCGCAGTCATGTCTGATTCCTTGAAATTTCAGTTAGACTGATGTAGAAATACACGCCCCTTCCCTGAGTGCATAATTATTCGTGGGTGGAGATCTACTAGGGAGGGTAACAGAAGGTGGAGGAGGAGGGGGGACAGGGAAAGAAAAAGGGAAGAGAGAGAAGAGAGGAGAGAAAGAGGAAGAGAGAGAGAGAGAGAGAGAGAGAGAGAGAGAGAGAGAAAGTAGCAGGTTTGTTCTGACTTCTAAAAATCCCTCCTTTTCCCTCTCTCATTTTCCTAATCCGAGAATGATGAGAATGGTAGAGTTCAAGGCAAAGGAATGATTCCAGAAATGGAGACATGACTCTCAAACCTAGAAATGATTTATTTAAAGTTTAAATATTTCTCACCGGGGAATCCAGCACAATTCAGAGTTAAAGGAGCCTGTGTTTCCTTCATGGTAATGCACACGGACAAACAGTTACCTCCCAAGATTAAAAACCCGCTTCCGAAGAGTATCTGACTGTCCTCTAAGCTACCCAGGAAGGAGGGGTGGGAAGCGCTTCCCAATTTGAAAAAAGTGCAAAGGACTTTTAAAACCAAGGGGCCAATTCCTGCGGGCCGAACTGTTCCCTAGCATCTCTCGCCTTCCCTCCGTGACTGTGCAACACGCAGGGATTTGGACATACGTGTGGGAGTGCGCGAGGGAGGGAGGCCAGAGGACGCGCGCTGTCCACACGTGTAACCCTGCGTCTCCCTATGTCCTAGCCTGCGTTCATTCGCGTGTATGCAGCGGCTAAATATTCCATCAAAGGTGACATAGTGACACTGATCAGTTGCATTTTAGTGAGCACACCTTAAAAAGAACATGTTCGTAAATTGCAAGTGTGAAAAAGATCCTAAGTATGGTCCCTATATCTGTAACCCTTTCTACCCTTCCCTCCCCATTCCCACTTCCCCTGAAAAAAGGAATGCATACAGCAGATTGTAAAAGGATTTGAGTCTGCAGCTGAGAGAGAGAGGAGAGAGGAAAGGAGAGGACAGGAGAGGAGAGAGAGAGAGAGAGAGAGAGAGAGAGAGAGAGAGAGAGAGAGAGAGAAAGGGATTAGGGCCAGAGCGATGCAAGTTAAAATGTGCTGCATATAAAAAATGAGCTGGTACCACCTTCCTTTCTAAAATAAAATCTCTCTGGCATGAAGTCACCGTCTATTTCACATCCGGTTTGCCCTGGGACGTATTACTACTGTCTTGGTAAAGAGAAATCTTTTGTTGTATAGCTGCAGAGTGGATATTGGGAAGCGAATTTGGGTGTGAAATCTTCAGCACAGGAGCACGCAGAGTCCATGATGGCTCAGAGCGAGTGAGTGAGAGGCAGGGCGCGGACGCCCCTCGCTCCCCGCGCGCCCCGCTCGCTCGCGCACTCGCGCCCAGCCCGGCTCTCCGCGATTTTCTCCCAGACTTTTCCCCGGTCTTGAGCGATCCAGTGTCCAGAGGGGGCCCGAGGTAAGTGCGGCTTCGGACCGCGACACTCGGGGCTTTGAACGTGGCTTTTTCTTGCTGGAGAGACAGGGATGCTCTAGTGGGGGACCGGGGGGGTGAAAGGAGCGAGAGGGAGCAGAACAAGCGCTTGATCCCATAGTGGATAGAGACAAGGAATGTTTTTCTTTCAGGCTGAAAACTGCAGCGATAGAAGATCATGATATTTTTCCCCCCATCTCTGTCTCTCTCTTCTTTCCTCTCTTAGCCAGATTTGAAATTTTTACCACGGGGTGGGGTGGTGGTATGTTGTTTTGGTCTTTCTAGATTTTTTTTTTTTGGGTCAAGGGAAGCTGGGGTGAGTTTGGGAGGGGCATAGGGGGTCATCATGTAAAGTTAAAAGAGGTTAGGACTGAAAACCTGTCTCCCTGTTCATCATATGGAATGCACTCTCTCACCCTGCCTGAAAAATTGCCTCTTTCCCCCTTTCCTGTGCACGCTGGTGAAATGCCCTCTGGTGTAGGGGTCTCTCCCATTCTGACTAGGAAAAACTCAACTTACCATTTTATATGGGTGGCATGGGTTATGGGTGTTTTCAGCAGAGCATGTGTGCTTGGATGGGGAAGGTTGAAGGTGGAACAGGGGCACAAGGCAGCTTAGTGTTTCTTTTAAACTATTATGTTTGTATTTGCAAGAAACTTTCTTAACAACACAAGTGCCATGATAGGCTTGTTTTCCTCTTTTAAAAGATCAGAAGAGGGCAAAAAGCTGTAGTGCGTTGCCTGGGTGGGGGGGTTGTTTTGTTTATCCCTCAGGAATTCCCCCCTTTTACAAAGATCAACGGAAATTAATAGGGCTAAGAGAAGTTGCTTTTTTCCCTTCATAACAGATGTTAAAGATTAATGAAAGGGTGAATTATAATTGTGCCATTTAGATGTAATATTTTAACGTAATAATATTTATCCAAGATTTCTGGTCATATTCTACTGATCTGTGCCAAAACCAGTCACTATATTAAGTAAAGCTATGATGAGACTCAGTTCTTATCTCTATACATTTCACTCTAAACCCATTAATTATGTTTCACTGTTTACTTACCTTTTTGTAATGGTTTTTACTGATTTAAATGATCCCTGAGAGTGTGGGAAGCATTTTTTGAAGTATTTAAAGGAATACCACATTAAACTATGAAGTGCTTAATGAAAAATTATGTTTTAAAATACTTGCAATCTATTGACCATTGGCCTTGCTAAGGAGTATAGATTCAGGAAAGTGCTAACAAATTCCTTTAACATTTCTCATAGTATGATTGCAATTACTTACAGTTCATTAAAGTGAAATGTTACCTTGACTGCTTCATATCCAGGTAGTGCACTGAATTGCAAAAACTGACTCAGTCAATAGATGATATACATTTTTAATTTTGTAAGCCTTCAACACTCATCCATTCTTTCTGCATCCCACTACCAAGTCTAAATTCAACAATCAGTATAGCAATTGATTGCACTTTACCTAAAAGGGAATAAACACCCTCCTTTCTATGCAAAGCAGAGCACTCCAGGTTCCATCTGTTTCACATGAAACATTTTTCCAGCAGCAACCTGCAGACTGGGGTGGGTTTAAAAGAGATGTGTAGGCCTGTTTGTGTGCGTTTCTGTGTGTGTGTGTGTGTGTGTGTGTGTGTGTGTGTGTGTGGTTTGTACATGAGGGAGAGAAACTCGCACATGGCCTGACTATAAAGTGTGCCCTTTAGCTTCATTAGAGAGCATGTGTAACAAGGCAATCACAGGCACAGAACAGAAGCATGATTGTGGTATTCAACAGTGTGCTTCCAATGGTCTTTATAAAGAGATAAATACAGTTGTTTCTGAGGTGCATCCAGAATTCAGTGATGAATTCAGTCAACAGATTATGTTAACCTATCACTTCCTGCCCACAAACATATTCTCCCTTTTAGAGACACCAGCTTAAAAATCTCAGTGCAGAGTTCAGTCATGGGGACTCAGATCAGAAAGGTCAAAATTTTCATATGATAACTAACAAGAAGAAAATAAACTATAATGGAATTATAGAACCTACAGAAAACAACCCACAGTTTGATGCTGAGCAATATTGTCACCTGAAAGCATTTCAACATGTATTTTTTTACAGGAGAAATTAACACACTGATCTTTTTCTGAATGGAGAAGTGGAAGGGAAAAGTGGAGAATGGATGGTCCAGGTTCCCAATGCTTCCAATGAGGTGTCATATTACAGTGAGGTCATTTCCTGACTTCAAAGCATTCATCTGAACTGCCTCAATCAGCCCTAGTGGTTGGTTATAACCTGATGTTTCTTACAAGACACACTGATCTCTAACTTATTCTACTTTTCAGCTGCTCAAGCCCGTGATGAAGAAAAGTCCGGGTCTCTCTGACTGTCTTTGGGCCTGGACCCTCCTTCTGAGCACGTTGACTGGAAGAAGGTGGGGACACTTTATTTTAACTCTGCATGAGAATTTCTGTAACTTTTCATTTATTCCATCAGGGGGAAGAAAATTGTCCATGGAGGAATTCATGACTAAGGGAATTCAAAAAACTTAACTGCAATAAAATTCCATCTAAGAATGAAGAATAGTACAAAAATAGACACCTTATTTGTATCTTAGAATACATTTAATAAGCCTTTGCTAAGAAATGTATTAATTCAACTTTTAAACCTTAAATTGAACTTTTCATTGTTCTGTTGTAAGTGAACATACCATTTCCTAATTTATGGAAAAAGTTATTCCAGTTAATTTCTGCATACTATGCATGATGATTTTCCAAAAACAAAATTTCTAGCTAGTTGTAGAGATCATAGAACAACTTGTGAGTACACGGAAGTGGAAATGTAAAATAATATTTTTAATTTGAAAGTCATATCTCTACAAGTGTATGTGCATATTATGTTTTGAAACTGTTATTTATATAACTCATAGAGGTGGATTATACCAGAAAAATAATTAGAAACATTAAGTAAAATCAACCTTCTCTAGTTAAACATAACTACTGTGCAGGGAAGTTTTGAGAAAATTTAAATAAGTTTAATCTCATGCAAAAGATTTTCTAATAATCTAATCAAGAATGTAACATAGACTGGCAATTATATAAATGACCGAATATTGCAGATTCCTTATCTGTTTTAATATTTATTGTATAGCCTATTCTGGTGGCCTGGAAGAAAGTATTGGACATATTATAAATACCCGATATTCTTCAAATGTAATGAAAAGTGAACCTTAATGACTTGAGGCAGACAGACAGAATAACTTGGCAAGACATTAACATTTAAGAGACTAGTTTTTTTAATTGAGAAGTTGTCTGTTGTTCTTAATTATTATGCATGGTAAGTACCAGATGGACAGGGCACACATTATTGCTAGATACTCTTCATTTGAGGAGATAAGTGATCTTTACTGCTTTTGAAAATTCATATGAAGTGTTACTATTGTTATGACCTGTAGATGGAGGTAGTGCACAGTGTTTTATTATATCATGGTTCATATGGAATCAAAATCAGGTACTGTAACTGATGTTTCTTTTCAAAATATATATTCAGTTTAGAACATGCTACATAGGCATGACTGTTTATTCCCAAATAAACAACCTTGATTTCTTCCCTAGGGTCTTCTCCTAGCAATTACAGTTTGACATAGTAAATTAAAAATAAAGATGAAGATCCTGATTAGGAATACACACAAAAGAAATATTTCTTTCCAAATGCGATAACAGAACTGGTCTTCCTGGGGAAAGGGGAGAACTTTCTTTTGGCATTTGTATCTAAATGCAAATAGTTGGTGAAAGCAATATTTATTAGTCAAAAACAGAGGGATATGCATTTTCTGAATTTTACATAAGCTGTGAAAATTTAGGGAACACGGATAAAGGCAGTAGGCACCCTGTATTCTAAGGATTGTGTTAATTATCTAGCTATTTTGTCATGTCACCCACCTCACCTTTTCTCCCCTTCTTACTGTATTGCTTTGTTCTTAAGAGTTGTCTATCGGAAGTTCTTCACAAGTTAAGGTGTGCTAATTGCTCTTTCATTGCTTTTTCAAGATGACCTTTCAATATCCTTGAAAGATGCATGCCTGGCAGTTGGTTTTGTGACAATGAGGTTTTACAAATAATTGCATTCAGAAAACTATTTTTGCTTTACTGCTGTCATTTGCCAGTGACACATACTGGAAGACACAAAGCTGTCTGAAAGTTTGATTTTGAAAACCAGCAAGAAGTTTAATTTTGCCAAAGGAGAGTAAGCACTCAATCTGTGTGATATTAATGTTGAATTTAGGGGAATAAAAATTCTTCACAGAAATACATTTCATATATTTAACTTCATAGGTAGCTTTTAGTTATAACTTTGTTAAATTAAAACCTTATCAGAAAAGCAACCCATTGCCTTTTGCTGATACAAAATTAAGTTCTTGTGAAACAATATTTTTGAATGATAATTGATTTTATTTCTTGCTCCTGTCAAATAAGTGAATTCTTGTTTAAAATATTACTATTTTTCTTATATATATATCAGCAAATTAAGCACACAAAAATGAAGAAAAAAGTATGTTAAACAGAAATTATAAAAGATAGATTTGTGGGAGTTGCTTGGTTTCTACTCTGTATTCACTTTTTTTTAAACTCAAGGTCAGAGCAATCATTGAAAATTATCAGTGAGTGTGATCCATCCTAAAATAGAAAATGCTTATCCCAAAGGATTTTGGAAGTGTCATGCAAATCATTTCATGTGATTCAAGGAAAATGGACAGTAATGTCGTTGATAAAAGAAATACACAGTGTTTGAACTGTGGTCACCATATGGTTGAAAATCAGAGACTAACAAGAGATACAAGCTACATAGTCAAAAAGTAAGATTTAAATAGGAAGAATTATTCTCATATAGAAGAATATAGATGAAATTTTAGCCCAAAAGTTGAAGAAAGCTTGGTTCTTGGTCAAACTTTGCTTATGGATAACTGGATCCTAAACAAAACACTTAAATTTTGCTACCATTTAGTAAACCATAAATTAAGTGTGTTGATCTTTTCCAACGACTTTGCTATGTCTAAGAACAGCAATGACAAAAGTTCAATCAATTAGAAATTTGAAAAAATGTTTAAAATTGGATCCTAAATCTTAAGGGGAAAGGGAATTTTCATACTGTTTAAAAACATAATTAACCTAAGAAATAAGTTTTATCTCTTTCTTTCCTAAATATCTTAAAAGAAACCCAAAAACATCAAAACACAGGTCTACAGGAAGTAGATGAAGGAAGGATGTTGTAGGTGAAAACTTAGGCTTTTTTGCTACATTCTAAATTTAAAAAAACTGATTTTTTTTTTTTTGCAACTTACATCTATATATGTAGGTTTTATTTTAATGTAGGTAGAAGTTTCCCAGATTTTTCTTCTAGCGTGTGTTAACATTCAAGCTTGCTCAGGAAGATATGCATTACAGCACAATATATATGTTAAGAATTGAAAGATTAAGGACACAGAACTTTCCCCTATATGTAGAAATATTAGAAGAAAGCCCTATCATGAGTAAGGATGAGTAGGAGAACATACAAGAGTTATAGTCCAGCATTTTTTAAAATTCATCGGATGGAATTTTCAGGACTCAATAGAAAAAAAAAAGGAAAATCCAGGAAAGGTTTTAATTGGAAACAGGTCTTAGAAGAAATGTATAATTTAGTCATTGCTTCTCCTTTTGTTTTTCTAGCTATGGGCAGCCCTCTTTACAAGATGAACTTAAAGACAATACCACTGTCTTCACCAGGATTTTGGACCGACTCCTAGATGGTTATGACAATCGCCTGAGACCAGGATTGGGAGGTGAGTTGCATTCTTACACTCGTGTTCTAGGGAGTAGTGTTTAATCTTTACCGTGACAGTCATGGTCTCCCTTCAATGGCAAAATAATGAGAATATAGCCTAGAGTTTGATAATTAATCCTACTTATAATAGATTACTTAATGTAAATTCAATTTACTGACAGTTTTGTACATATACAAATATATAGTAAAAGACTGACAAAATTCTCTTAATGATGTGAAGGAATGTGAAATTTATATGATGAACACATTTTTTCTGTGAAATAATGTGATTACACAGAAAAGGAATGCAGATAAAATTCTTACTCCCACCCTAAAGACTGCCAACTTCATTTGGCACTGATATGTCTGTGTTGAATTCCACCAGGATATCTCTCATTGTATTGCTCCAAGCATTTATTTTAGATTACACATGGAGCCACTATTTTGTGTAGGCTTACCACCACCTCCAAGATCAAAAGTGAATGATATAGGTGGTAGTTTTTTTTTTTAAAACATCCATTTGAACTTACACCCTGGTTTTCATTAGTAAAATTTTATTTTTCTTGGTCTGTCAATTTATTGGTTATATTGATGAATTTCTGCTTAGGAAGAAAATAAAGCTTAATACTATATATATGTATATACATATAACAATAATGTAACATAGTTCTAGAAATTTCATATTTATTTAACTAATTCTTGAATAAAATATCTAAATAATCTCAAGTGGTTAAACAAAAACTAGTAAAGCCAAATCAAACTATTGATCTTATAGTAAAACAAGGGAAGGGAGGAAATAAATTACCGTTCAAAGTCACACAGGAAGCCAGTGTTAGAATCTATGATTCCAATCGATATCTAATACTTAACCTTTCCCAAAGCACTTATGGAAACTATTTAACAGCATTGTTTAAATAGTAATTAAACAGCAATATTAAGAAAGCCACCTCTTCTTCATTTAGACAGCTCAGATAAGCAAAGAGTAAAACGTTTCAGAATTCAAACATCAATTTTAAAACTGGGTGGTGCCAAGGATTTAAGTTTAGCTGTAATGCTGGAAATTGAATCAAGGGCCTTGGCTATGTCGGAAACTCTACCACTGAGCTATATCCCCAGTCCTACAGTGATTTAAAAATTTCTTTGCATGCTTTGATCACTTGTCTGTACATCATAGATCTGTTTTAAAGCAGTCAAGTGTCATTAGTATGTCAGAGAATTAAGAGGAATTGCCTCATCAAAGACACAGCTGAAATATATATCACAGGTCTTGCCAGGTGTTCTTATTTACTAATCTCAAACATTCATTGTAGGACATCCTGTTTTTTCAGGTTTAATCTCTACCTAGTTTTTATTTACATCCTTTGGGGAAAAAAAAACCTAAAGTTGCCAGTCGTGGTGGCATGCACCTATATTCCCATCTACTCAGGTGGCTGAGACAGGAGGACTTCTTAAACCCAAGAGTTCAATGGCAGGTTGGACAATATAGGGAGACTCTGTCTCAAAAAGTATATAAAAATCTTCAAGTTAAAATGGAACAGTCACAAAATGGTTAGAATAATTGGGCACATAATATGTTAATGCAGTCTGTTTATATGTAAACATCTGGATTGCTTCCAAGAGCCAATTCATTTATAAGATCTTAAGTAAATTATAAAGAGTGAAGATAAGGGGAGAATGCCCAAAAAAGATGAAAGGGTCAGGTTATTGACACAAGTTTTAAAACACAAGACTTTTGAAAGACTGGTAAAAATGAATATGATTCCTTTACTGAATCTTTTTTCTGCTGCATATTATTCCCTATAAAATTGGCAGAATTTTATAACACATCTAAAAACCTCCTCTTCATCCTAGTTTAGGAAATCCTATTTAATATTTTACAGACTTGTGTGTAGTTTTCAGGTTGTTAAACAATTTTACACATACACACTTTGATATCATTCGTGTCTTGTATTTTTATTGAGTATAAGTAACAAGTCATGGCTGCTAATTTTTGCTTAATTGTATACAATAATTATTTAATAAATGTATATGTTGACTCTTATTCAAATGTAGATAAGAAGGAAGAATTTGAATCCTAAAATGCTACCTAAACCATGGGGTGACATAGACCTTCTTGATGTGCAGACTGAACTAAGAATATGTTGAAAAGTTAGTTTTCGGTCCTTTCAATTATGGGAGTTTAGCTTACAGTAATAACTACATTTATTCATCCTCAACATTACTATTTTGAATCCATTTTACTATATATTTAATTTCTGAACTTTAAAAAAAGACATGTAAGTTTAAAGAGTGGAAAGAATTGTTGGTCACGTGTAGACAAGGTATATTCTTTTACACCGAACTGAATATAATAGACTATCGTAATGAAGACCTCCAGGATGAACTTGAAGGCATATATTTTTAAAAAAATGGATATGCTTTAATTTCTATTAAGGATAATTTAGAGATATTTCTGGTTCCTAGCAATACTTATTTAAACAATGGATATAAAAACAAATTTTAAAGTAACTCTTATATATCCTCTATTTCGGTCTTAAGTGTTGTTCTGGAAAGTGGTAAAACCAAAAGTAAAAGGTTTGAGATTCATTTAAAAGCTTTAATACTGGATAAACTTGCTTTTAGAAATATTTTGGAATATATTTTAAATCCTTAAGGGGTAAATGGCATGTGTTTATTACAACAAATCATCAACATTTTTAAGTCCATTTTGATATTATTTGTCACTAGAGAATTACAGTTTTAATAATAAATATAATTTCAAGATATTCATAAAAACATAGTCCCCACCAAATTAAATAAAAATGTTAACATGACTTCTAGCTGCTATAAGTTGAAATTGTCTTAAAATTTTTTCTTCGGGATTAAAGTATTTAATTCCTTTTGCCATTTCATTATAACATAGATTCCAGTAAATCCCTATTGTAAAATGGACCTCTTTCCCTTGACTTGTTGACATGACCGATTTTCCTTCAGATGAGAACACTATGCAGAAAAAAATCCTTGAAAGATTCTTTCTAGCATGTAAGGGAGTAAAGTTTCCTCTTAGTGAGTTCATGATCATAACTAGAATAACTTCCTAGGAGAGAAAAGGCACCTATTGTCTTGCTGATTATGATAAATGCCTGATTTTATAAAAATAACAACACTGCAAAAGGTAGGGATATTTTGTTCTGAATATCCTCAAATATGTAGAAATTCAGTCAGCTGAGACTTAAGACAAATGTAAGGAATTTTTATATGTGCAAATTCATCGTGACTTGGTTTTTTTAGAAACACATATGCAAAGCATTACTTTTTGAGAATGTACACTATGGATCCAACAACTAGGAATAAAATCTATAACTTGGTTGATGCAAATAATAGAAATAAGCTTGCAGATATTAAAACACGATTTAAAAAGGTTATTTTTCAGTACCAAAAGCTATCCTGAGAAAGTGAAAATGAAAGGGTAACATGAAAAAGACACATTCAGGAAGGGACTTTTTACAGCTAGGAGGGCTAAAATAGATTTGAATATGTAGAATCTAAAAATTTAATATACTCAGGAATATAAAGAGAAAAATAACTCAACCAGGTTCCTATTTTAAATTTCAACTTTAAATAAACTTGAATTAAAATTATCAGTAGCCAGAAAGTGCAAATCAAAACAGTCAGTAATTGTTGAATTAATTCTCATTTTATAATGTCTTTCTTTGCTGGCAAGATATGGATAAAATGTTTTTGAAAATCTTTTGGCTAAAGTATGGCATTACTGTTGAGTACAGAAAAATAATGTAGTTGTGGAAAGAAATATAAAGGTCAGAAAAAATGGGAAGGCATGAAAGGAAAGGTTAAAGAAAAAGGAGCCACAGAAGATAAGGAGAGTGCAGTTAGAACCAAGAAGGATGGAGATGATGCTAAGAAAGACAGAGGAAAGGTACATCTGCATCTATGAGTCTCCATAGATGCAGGCCTTGCTTGAACAATCAAGATTCCTCTTTCTGTTTTCAATCAGGACCAAATCCTAAGTTTTCTGAGTAAATTCATTTTTCTAAGCTTTTTCCTTATTGCTTATGATTTTGATCAACTAACAAACCCTTGGTGTCCTCCAGCTTCCAAAAAGATTAAATAATACTCTAGCTGACCTGCACAGACCTGGGTCAAAGATAATGCACCTTCACATTGTCTCCACTCACACCCTGGGAGTAGGAAAAAATAATCCACAGACAGTGGTACAAGGCTTGATTCTGAAGGAATATTTTATGATGTGCCCAAATCCAACGGTGAGCCAGGCTGATAAGCAGTGTATTGCCTGGGTCATGTTTCTGAGCTCAGGATATTCGCTTCCTTCTGTCCACAAGCTCAGCCCCACCCATCAACATTTCACAGTTTTTTCTTCTATAAACTAATCATTTCACTCCTAGGAAAGCGAACAAAATTTTAACTGGGAAACAAATAGAATAGACCTGAAGGTATAAACTCTTGGCTGTGCCACACTTTGAAGAGATTGCAGAAAAAATGTGCACCCTCTTCCTCCCTCTTAATAATTCTCAGAAATACTGTTATATTTTCTATACTCAGTCATTAATCCAATCTCCATAAATAATGTATAGAACAATGGATAGCTCTGAAAGATTTTTATCATTAAACTACATAGATAAGGATAGCCAAAGAAAAAGGCATGAATGTGTATTGCTAATGTGACAAGCTCAGACAGACAGGTGGAGTGGATCTGTAGATAGGATTGAAGTAGAGAAAGGACTTTATCCCTAGTGTGCACTTGATAGCATGGACTTGAAGTTTTCTTTGTGCTGTGAGTGTCGTAGATTTGGATTTCCTGGTTTGGGGGACTTTGCATTGGTTTTGGTTTGTTTTTTGCCTAAGCAAATCTAAACAACTAATTGAGAGATTGCATACATTAATTAAAATACAAGCAATTAATTGAAAGTATTAGAAGAATATTTGTAACTAGTTTCCTCTCAGGGTATTTTAGCACTAACATATTGTTTAAGAAACAATCTATGTCTCTAAGCAGACTTT